TGTTGGGTGTTTACTGTTCATTTTCTGAAGCTTAAATTCACTTCTGTGTGTGCACTGTATTCCGGACTTGCTTAGTTTGCAGGCTTCTGTCTCCCCCTGAATACTTCAGAATCTCTCAGCCAAGCAAAGTTAAGGCTATTTTGCGCTAGGAGAGGTGTAATTATGTTTTGTGCAAGGTCTTGGTTCACACAGGAAATTGAATTCTGCAGACTTTGAGTGTCTTTTCCACCTTCTATGATGGCCATTAGCGAGAGCACATCAAGTGTATTTAAATCAGAGAATGATGCTGTTAAAGTGCACTTTCCTGCCTGCTGAACACCATCTTTACTACCTGAGGTATTCAGTGTATCAGTTTGTCAAAATTTGCCCAGAGCACCTTTAAGTTTAGACGTGATGCATACCTGTGTAATTAGTAACAAATGGAGATGGCATGTGGTGGGAATAACATGGACAATCATAGACTATTGGATAGGCTGGAGAGCTTAGCTTGTGGGATAGGACTCTACTGCTTCATCATGTTTTGTTTGATTCATCTTTATTACATGAAGACGGAATATTTTGTATCCAAAACCGTATAGCACAGTATGCTTTGAGTGCACATATCTTTGTATGCAAATAATTAATCCGTTATAACAAGGTCAAGCAGTTAGTAGTAAAAGAATACATAACAGAGACTGCATACACACAAAAAATAAAACAGATAAAAAAGTTAGTTATGATTACAGTCAGTAGTCTTACATTTGTCATCTGAGGTCAGGTTCTGTGCCATGTACTTGCACACATAGTTTAAGCGCTGCACTGAATACAATCTTCTATGCTTATAGGCCTGTCTGCTTCCTGAAGTGATGTCAGGTGATGGTTATTGTGTTTCATATTGCTGTTGAATGGAAGGGAGGCAGTGTTCGGACTTCAGAGATAGAGAATTGACATGCAAGTATCAACGTAATTTTATCATAGAATGATCTGGGTTGAAAGGGACCTTAAAGACTATCTAGTTCCAACCCCCTGCCATGGGCAGGGACACCTTCCATTAGACCAGGTTGCTCAAAGCCACATCCACCCTAGCCTTCAACACTTCCAGGGATGGGGCAGCCACAGCTTCTCTGGGCAACCTGTTCCAGTGTCTCACCACCCTCACATAAAAGAAATTTTCTCTAATATCTAATCTACACCTACCCTCTTTCAGTTTGAAGCCATTCTCCCTTGTCCTGTCACTACACACTCTTGTAAAGAGTCCCTCTATTTTATTAGATGTCATTAGAGAATTATCAGATGTATTTCAGTAGTTTCAGGTATTAAGGCTCAAGTAGTTCCCAACATAAAAACTTTGAAACATTATGAATGATTATCAACTACAGTGGCAAATATTCAGTGCTCCTGAAGTTGCTTATTGTGACATGCATTTAAAGAATGTAACACCAGTGGCTCTCTGTGAACATCTGGATTTGAAAGGGTTGCCTAAGGGGAAGCATTTGTACAACAGTCACCTTTGTAAACAGGAATCTGTCCTACCTCTTCCTGCAGTCATCTTCCTTATTGGAAGCAGCATTTGTAGGATAAGTGGCGACTGAGGCAGAATTACTTCAGCAAACAGCTTCATTCACTGCTAATGTCTAATGAGTGTATACTGCATGCTGGAAAAGGTTAGGGACCTAGTAGCATCATGTAGTCAGTTATGCATATCCACGAGCAACTACAGAAAGATTACCTAGAAAAGTGTAAATTCTGGCTGTTTTCTGATGTTTTGATTAGACAGTTGTCTGTATAACTCTTGGGTAGGGTATCTGTCTTCTCTCTTTATGACTCCAGCACCTCTTAAAAAAGAGTATCAAGGGGCAGGATAAGAAGATAATTTGGCTTCAGCATTCTGCTGCAGCCCTGAGGCTCTGTTAGGCGAGTGAAAGTTCCTTCCTGCCCCCTTCCCTCCCCAGTAGCCTGTAACTTTGTCAAATGAAGAATTAGTGGAAGGAAGCTAGAAGCCACATAATGTTCAGAAGGGAACAGTTATTCTAGTATGAAAAATAGCAATGTTACATCTTGATTAACAACTGTATTACCTTTTTAAAACAGAAAAATCATGTTATCTTTTAAATATGACTCATTAACTTTTAAGGATTTCTGTTTAAATGTTCTCTTCAGAAGAGTAAGTGTTCAAAATCACAAGGAGCTTTTTTTCTGAAAAAACGGAAAATTTCCAGTTAAATTCAGAAGTTGAATTTTTGCATTTTAGAAGACTGTTTTCAGTTGCTTTTACAAGTCCTACTTAGGCTTGTCACTTGACAAAACTAATATATATTCTTCTATGAAAGTAAAACATACACAGAAATGACATCTAATGCCACAAAAAAATACATTCTTCTGTTGAAAATATGCTTTGTGGTTGCTATTCAGGTGCCTCATTAGTAAGTGTTATTGTGCCTTTAATGTGTTCCTTTTTTAGGTGCTATTGTATACTGAAATTTATTTCCATGGTCCTGTTTTTCTGTGTTTTCCAATGGAGCAGATGTCATACTTTGCCAGATCAGTGCTTAGGAATGTGCTGTGCTTTGGTGTACAAAAAAAGTAACTTTTAATAAACCTGTATTAACTGACTACTTTCTGGTTCAGGGGGAAAAACCCACAGCATAACTTATTTGTTTTATACAGGGATCAACTTTTCCTGTCGGTTATGCAAGCAGAATTATGCAAAAGCAGTATTTTCTTCCGTAAGTAGAAAGGACCCTCCTTCTTTCACTGCTCCTCCGTAGTCCCTAAAAGAAAAAATAACTCCATCTTTAACAACTTATTTTATGCTTTTCCCCTTGTATTTCTAGAAGCTCCAACTTGATGGGAGCACGACTGGCTGGATCCCATGTTGATACACAGGAGCCTAAGGCCAATCCTTTGGTAAGTGTTTTGTAGCCCAGTATTTTGTATATTGTCTTAGTTATGAAGAGAACATACAGAAAAACTTGAATTCCTTTCTTACAGGTTTTTAAAGTTCTGTCTTAATGATGTCAAATTTGTCATAGAGAAAGAAATAATTTAGATTACTGGCATTTGAGATCTTTCGAGGTTTTTTTGGGCAAGATTCTTTAGCTCACAGTTCCCACTTAGTCACTTTCTGCTTTCTGTATGCAGCCATAACTCTATGAAATACCAGCTTTTTGGCCACATTCAGTTCAGCACCTGTGGCAGCTTAGTAGCCTTTTGTGCAGGGCTTCAGAAACATCTGACAGGCAGCATTAGATCTACAGTGCTGACCTCAGCCTTCCTGCCGTGTCTGGCACATGGCTGGATTTACTGTGCTAAACTGCCTAGGAGTAAACCTGTGGGAAAATCAGTACTTCTAGGTACATCAAGGCTCTTCAGATGATGAGTGAGCCCAGGCCATCAGAAATCAAAGTTCTAATTGAAAATCATAAACTTGTATTTGCACAAACATAAAGGATAATACACCTTGGGAAGCCTGCTATGTTTAAGGTAGTCCTATAACTAACTTAGTAAAGTGAGAATTCTGGTGGTTGTTCATAATGTTCTGGTTACTTTTCATACCCAAGCAAACTTTTAAGTATTTGGGGTATTCTCTCACTGCTATTTAAAAATACAAATACTGCTGCTCCAGACCTGCTTTAACAATGAATTTCATTCTTGGCTTTGCTAGCGTTGTCCTCCTTATATTTGTCTGGCATTCCTTTTTGGATGAAGAAATTTTACCTAAATGTTCAGAAGTTAGCTATCTCTTCACACTTTGCTTTCCCTGATAAGAGCGAGACCTGCCAATCGAGGTAATACAGTCAGCCTCTGTTAGATAAATAAGCAGCTGAACAGGTTACAAATGGGGCACACAGGTTAAGGAAACAGGCAGTGTGAGCATTAATTAAGGAGAACATACAGTGGTAACTCTTGTCTTTTTTTAAAAATGCAGGTATCTATTTCAGATGAACCAGAAACACTGTACAAGAGATTGTCCATTTTAGTTAAAGGTCACGATAAAGCTGTGTTGGACAGCTATGAATATTTTGCAGTGCTTGCAGCTAAAGAACTTGGCATCTCTATTGAAAAAGTGTAAGTAACTGATCTGTAGAGTGATGTGGTGTCAGATGCTTCTTATGTCATCTACTGTAATTCAGGCTCTGTGCTTAGAAGTATTATTTTCTCTTTTTTTTTTTTAAGAAATGGATGTAATCTGACAGTTTTTTCTCAGATTATAAATCTGACGCTTCTTAGATGGCAGTACAGTGGTAAGAAAGCAGCAGCAGATCTGCACTCAGCACTGCTGTAGTGGACTACATGAAGGATATTGACAGTACTCTAAATACAGCTGTCAGTGCTGTAGGTTCCCTGAGCTAATGCTGGCTTAATACCTGAGTGTTAATCATGCCCATGTAAGTTATAATAACAAACTATACCACAGTGTTTCATATTTCCTTGAAGATCTTGTAAATGTCAAATAAGAACAGGGATTCCAGCATAATCTTTGAGATAAACTTGTATTATCATCCTTTATATAACATGAAATTGTCTTTTTCTTTGTTCAGAGATAAACCTCCAAAGACGATAGAACGATTTACACTTCTCAAGTCTGTACATATTTACAAGAAGCATCGAGTTCAGTATGAAATGAGAACACATTACATGTGTTTGGAGGTAAGAAAGAAGGAAAAAAAAAGCGTTCTGGGTGCACGATTCAAAGATGTTACTAGATGTTAGTTCAAAAGTGAAAACAAATTTCCTGTTTACTTGGGTTGGGGAGGAGAGTGTAGGGGAACATCGGAAAGCAGCTGACTTAGGTACATCAAATGTAACACAACTTATTCTGAATGCACAGCCTATGAAATTTTTGGACTAAAAGGCTGGTTTTGACTATCTTCTTAAGAGCTGAAAGGGTGACTAAAAGAATAAGGTAAAATTGAGGGTTATCTTCATGTGTGTTATGAAAAGTCAGTGGGATGGAAGCTTTCTCAGGAAGGGAAGAAGATGCATCTAAATCATTGTTGTTGCCAATCACTAAGGGTTCTGTTCTCTGTGAGTTTGTTTGATGTTTTTGAACAGACATACTTTTGCCCTATGCAGCATCATGTGGCAAACTAAAACTACATGGAGGAAATGCAAGAAAGGAAGCATAGACAAACCACAAGTTCTGTGGCCAATGACACAGACATTTGTATGGCTTAGAATGCAGCTGTGGTTGACTTTCTTAGAAGAAAGGTTTACTGCCAGCATTTTGTGGCTCCTGGGTGTCTTACTGTACATTTGCACAGTGCTTACCAAAATGAGACTTGGAAGTCCCCAGACATTAGTGTAGTACAAATGGCTGCCCACAGACCATAAGCACAACGTTTGCCTTCCAGGAAAAACTAAAACATCAGTAATTCAGTGGAACCAGGAGAAACTAAAAAATCAGTGGAACTCTGGAGTTGCAGGATTTACAATAACCTGTAATTAATTTCACCCTATACCTGCCGTGTTAAGATGACCACTTCCATCATAATCAGTGCCTATGATCCCAGGCAGCATGTGCAGTTCTGTGGAGGGACGTAACTGCTTTATACTTGCGTGAGAGTTGAGTACAGATCAACAACCAGCTCTGTTCAATATCATGGAAACTGCCTTTCTTATGTTTGGCCCCATAACAGGAGCTAAAAAGAAGCTTGAGTGAACTTTTGGGTTTGTATTTTTTTCTCTTTGAAGTATTAGTAATAGCAGTTAACTAGAAAACATTACTTCTGTTGTAGTTAAAATACCTAACAAGCAGTACTGCTGCAGTTTACTTGGAGTATGTGCAACGAAACTTACCGGAAGGGGTTGCCATGGAAGTAAAAAAGGTAAGTCTCCACACCACATTATTAATTTAATAATTTATGAGACTTTAGTCCTTATGCAAATACCAATAACTCCTGAAATCTTTAGAAGGTCAGCCGAGGAAATGGGTGTAATTTGGAAGGAACGTTTTTCTAAAGTATTACACAGTAAAAAGGCTGTATTGCTTGTAAGTGCCAGTAGGTGGCATTTTTAATCTGAGTCATATCTCAAACGAGTAAATAAAGCAAAGTAGTTAGATGTTAGCTAGTTGGTGTAATAAATGGTTGTTTTGCTTTCCTTTTAGACTAAGATAGAGAGAATACCTGAACACATTAAGAAACCAGTTTGGGATACACTACCTCAAGTGGAAGAAGCTGAAGTCAAGTCATGAACACACCAGGTACTTGGCTCTGTTAGTACTGGAATTCATTGCTCCTATCAGCCTAATTTACTGTTAAATAAAAGTTCTCTTATAAAGAAATTTTATAAACTCTTGTTTCTTCAAGTTATTCTCGCTTATAACTCCAGTACACGTAGACTGAACAGCTGTAAAGTGAAGAGGTTTGACTGTACTCTATGATCAATAACTATGGTCATTTATAATAAGTTTGTAGAAAGTGTGTATATATAAGTATATATAAATTCATTGTATCCTTTTGATGCTAGATGGCCTCTTAATTCTGAAATACTTGAAAATCCACTTCCCATTTGTGTGATGTTTAATATTATGGATGCCAGATTGTTGTTGAGTTACCAACTGGATAAACTCGTTCGATGGATAAGCTGTTTCCATTCTTTACTTCTTTTACCACATGTTTCTCCACTTTTGCTTTGTGCCACCTTTCTTAGCAAGTGCCAACAGCAACACTCCAGCCATTGCTTTAGGTCTTGTCTCGAGCCATCTTCCTACCTACTGACCATCTCCTCTCATTTTCAATCAGAAAATTTTTAGTTGCGTTTTAGAGGACATTAATAAAAACACCATGCTTCATACCATTTATAAACATCAGTATCTGAGCATGCTGTATTATCTTCTTATGAGTCAGACATTCAAAGCTTAAATGATTCCCGTCCGAAGTGCCCACTTTTGCATCCTTATAGCAAAACTGCCAGAATCGCCAATTCCATGCCCTGAAACAAAGGCAACATCTGCCACATAGGATGTTCTGTGCATCACAGCAAAGCATTCCTACCTTCCTAGAACTCCAATTTGAATATGAAAGTGTCAAACCACTGTCAGTATCTCTGTATGTGTAAACCAGCACTTCTGTCTTTAGGAGAGAGGGAGTGGTTTTTTTGAACTGAACTAAATCCTTAGGATCAGTTCAATATCAATTCGATACCACTGCCTTTTTTATGAAGATGGATGAAAAGACTTGGCAGCATGCAGGAGCAAAATTTGACTTCCAGTATCTGGTAGCCTACAGTCTCACCTTGTAATCAGGACACAGACTCTTAATACCGCTGCTCTCACCCCTGGCTGATACTGCATTAGCTTCATCTAGCTAACAAGTTTAACCCAAGTCAGTCATTCAGAGGAGATTTTTAGATGTTTGGTTAAGCTAATGCCTTGTCTTTCTAGATGGAGTTTTACTGTGTATGAACTTAGGCAATAATAAACCTTCACCCTAATTACCTTTGCTTTCTCTCCCTCTGTAATCTGTCTATGGCTTTCAAGGACAGACACCTCTAGTCTGCAATCCAGTCAGGTTTCTTCTACCCTTTTGCACACAGCTGTGTCCACCCTGCTGGTATACTCTCACCGAGCACTTTGGAACATCTTCAGTAGAAAAGAACTGAAAATACTCAAGAACACAGACAGACCAATAAGCAAATATTTGATTCAGTTTTCCCTAATTTAAAGGCTAAGTCAGACAACCATTAATAAGAGGAAAATGGTGTGTTTCTGAGTACAGTTCCTCACTGTTAGAAGACTGCTTTATGACCATCCTCAAGCTTGCATGGGTAGATGTCTAACATTATCTGCCAATATGAGAAAATGTTTTCCCAAGGGTAATAGTAATAGAAAATAGATGCCATGTAAAGCTGTTACAGAAACCCACAGATCGGCAGCAAATACTTAGAAAAGTATCATGAAATTGGTTGTTAGATATGACAGTGAAATTTCTTCATTCCATCCATGGTTAGACTGTCTCGGTCTGAATAGGAGCTGTGCTAAATATTGGCACTGAAGATAGATAAGTTTTCAAGTCCATTCAATCTTTAAAATCCTTGGTCACTGCCAGTAAACTGGAGGTGGATTTCCTTCCACAAATACTTAGTGACTAACAGCTGCCAGCCTACTTTAGGTATCAAAAATATACAGACCAATATATTATGTAAATCAGAGCATTCACTTATGTTACTTTCCTTTGAGCCATTTAACCATTGGAAAATTGTTGGGAAAGCTCTGCTCAAAGGCAGTTGTGGCAGAATCTTATTACTTATGGATTAAGATATTTAAAAAACAGTCTAAATTAGCCTGCGTTTCCAGGATACCCGGGGTTCATTTGCCATATGTATCTTTCAGCACAAAAGCAATTTGTGAACAGTAGCTTCTGTATCATTTAGTGTGATGTTTAAAGAAACAGTCTCAGTTTATTCTTGGCATTTCATCAAAGTGCTCTAGAGCATGTATTTCTCTTCCTTATAGATGCCAGTAGTCATCAGTCATGTCTGGACTGTTACTTCAATTTTGGTTTCTACAGTTAATCATACCACTACCACAACTTAATTGTCACGTTAGCATTAATCTGTCTATACAGCAAGCTTCTTTCTTTAAAAGTCTTTCCTGCCAGTTCTGCACTTCATGTGCCAGAAAATTAGTTACTATCTATCTGTTATTCCAGGGAGCACCGGAAATACAGCAAATCCAAGGGAAAGTCATTTACCCAGGAAGTTGTGACATAAGAAGGTTTTACTGTTTGTCTAATATAAATCTGTAGTTAAAACTCCTTCAAGGCTGCTATTCTCTTAGCTCAAACTGCACTAAAACAGGTGCAGTCTGTTATTTGTCCCTTCAAATTAGAAATTTGGGAATAGAACCTCACATGGTGTTCATGGCTTTTCCTAGCAAGTGCCATTAGCAAGTGCCACCCTTCCTCTAGTTTCCACATTTCTGCAGCCACAAAAATAACACAACTGGCTTTCAAAAATGTCTTTCCTATCATAAAAGTTGGTGTGACTTCTTGCTCCTATTCAAACATTTCATCCTCAGGTTTCCCTCTGACTGTTGTGGTCTTCTAAAGTTCAGGGTTTTCTTTCCACAAAACCACAGTATTCATCTTCATCCATTTGTGTGGTGAAAAATGGAAGTTATGTTTCTGACAGTCATTCATATAAGCCAAGCATGATAAATCACTGAGGTCCTCAGGGGATCTGTGTGAGTAACATCATATCAGTGAACCCCCTACACTACCCAGTTCCTGTAGGATACAGAAATCTGAGAGGTATTTAATTTACAGAATGAATATGAAAAACCCCAGCCTTTAATACAAACAATTTATTTGTTCAGGTAGGTGCACACAGCTCAAGTAAAGATTTTTTTCTGCAACACTTACGTATGGTAAGAGGACAGCATTATGGAATTTGGGGTTTTGTGTACCTGTCTCACTCTTTAAAATTTCTAGTTCTCTTAACAAAACATGTCTTTCTTTTGAAATGCTGTTTATTGAATTAAGAGAAACATCAGTAATAAAAAGTGCAAATTTTCTTCTTTCTACTTAAATGCCAGTTGATATTATCAGAGAGCACTCAATCAATGTATCACATCTCTGAAGCAAGGTCTTCCGTACATCAGCACATTATTATCACTCATCTTTCATTCCCTCCTGCTATATAAATATTAACTCCTCTTTGCCTCCAGAATATGTTTCCAGTTAAAAATAAGGGGCGCTTTTTATGTTAGCTGCTGAAAATATTCATAGGGCTTTTTCCCTAAGCCATTAAGAGTACAAAAGTTTCACCTTCTGCTTAAGAGAAAGTTACAATATCTACATTATGGAGGCACAGTGGCGTCATGAATGAGTAACACCAACAAGACTTCAGACATTTACAACAACTTCAGATACCTACAACCAGTTAGAACTACTTTAGCCTGCAGTGGCCACGCTGCTAAGGAAGAGCAGAAGGCTTAGTTTGCCATCAGAAATCAAATGTAGTGATGAAACTTTCAGACCAAAACAATAATACTGCATTATCCGAGAGGGAACCTAAAAAATTATAATATAGATTAGTTCAGTAACTACTAGGAGAAAAAGAAATTCTAGTGTTTTAAATAGGATCAATTTTAAAAGGTCCAGTTCTTCCCTTATTTTGGCACCCACCCAGAAGCAGAGAAATTCATAATACAGATTTCTTTCCACTCTCTCTAGTACCTCATTAAAATCTATACCTTTACTTAACCTGTCCCAGTGCAGGGTATTAAGAGTTTGGAAAATCTGGCCTTCTATTCTCTCTGAGTTTTCTACGATCCCGGTGTCGCTGTACTGCAGAACTAGTCTGAAACTGAAAAGAATGTATTCATTTTTCTGGATGCCCACAGACAGTTGAGGGCTACGTCTCCATCCCCTTCTTTCACATTCAGTTTTCCACGTCTGGCATACAAGCTGGCAGTTAAACTCTCCTCTGCATTATACATTCTTCCTCAGAAATGGTTGTGGGTTTGGTTTTTTTTTTAAGCTAATGTTGCTATAGACAATACATGGATTCAAGGCAGCTTTTGTGGTTCTTTCTAAAATGCTGGGCTCCCCTCACATTCAACAGACTAAAATGTTAAGATGTATTATATATAATATAGTATATTGTAGTTCTTTAAAGAACACTAAATTAATTGTAGTGGTTTTTACATGGACAATACGTTATAGTAACCACAGTTTAAGGAATTATAGCATCAGTAAATGTATCAGCCATTTGTCAAAAGAGTTGCAGCTTGATTTTCAACATCATTCGAAATACAGCTCACACTGGCAAAAAAAAAACAGTGGCAAAGCAGTTTCTAAACTTAGTTTCTATCAGCAAAATAAGAGCATTACGCTAAATGTGGCTATTTGAGAACAGATGCTTAATACAAAAGCCCCCAGCAGTTTTGTTCTTAGCTAAATTCATGTTGCTTAAGAATAAACAAACAAGTAACTTGAATACGTAAGTAAAAAATATTTAATACTACAGAAAGGAGAGTAAAGAAGTTACAAAAATCTGTCGCCTTAAGTATGGCCGTGCTTCAAAGGGTGGCTGTGTTACCCTTCAGAAGATAACAGAACCGTTCTTTCACCAAAAAGTCATGCCACTTCCTGAAAGTCCTGCGGCTGAACTGGCCTGCGGAAATGGCCCACACCAGCGGTGCTCACGCTCCTGTGCAGAGCTTTCAGTAGCCTGTGAGTAAGCAGAAAATTTGTGGGGGGTTGCGTGATAACAATTTCATTTTATATTTTAAGTCAGCAGCTGCTGAACACTACATTTGGTCACGGCTCTGCTTTTTTATTTTCACTGGTATTTACTTGCTTGTTACTCTCTACATTTATGCAAGCAGCACATCAAGGACACATCAAGATACTTGCCTTTGCACAGGTGCCAGCTGTTACTAGGAAAGGAGTGATGGATGGAAAGAGGTGACAAAGAAGATTAAGCAAGGATAGTCTGAGATCTGGGAAGACATGATGTCATCACTTACTTTTCCCATTGTAACCAGACAGTATCTTGTCACACATCTTTCTTTTTATTACACGCCACAAAAGTGCATTTAGTAAATAAAACAGCATTCAAGTTTATAAGCTATATGCTAAAGTCCCTGGTGTAACTTAAACTGCGTAAGTAACTTAGGGCAAATTATTTAAATTTAGCTCTCCATTTTGCGTTTGCATAGGAAGAGAGTATATGATCAACATACTTATTCCAATTAAAAACATACACTAAAATGAAAGAAATGTCATTTCGCAAGGGAATGGGCAAAAGCAAAAGTAGAAAAGCAGCAACGAAGGAAAGCATATAAGTGAGCTGCTGCACATGAAACGAAACAAAAGAATGAAGGCAATAAACTAGCAAGGAGGAATCCATTGTGTTCAGATAAGCAGAGTTCTCTAAAATAAAGGAAGCAGCTTTTATAACCCAGCTGTCTCTGGAACATGTCATGTAGATAAAAGTGCTGGAGATACACAGGTAGCAGCAAGAGACTTCTGCTGACAGGGTTTAATTGTGGCTGCTGACAGAATTGGGTCAGCAGAACAGATTACAAATAACACAAGCTTTTTACCTTTCTTTCCTACATTATTGCTGGAATCAGAGACACTGGAGATATGTTATCATGTTAGCAACTAGGAGCTCCAGGGTAACTTACATGTGATTTCACTTCTTCAGAAATACAAGTTTAGTTAGCAGTTTGGTTTAAAATTTTCAAGTGGAGAGATCTAATTTAAGAAAAGGATTATTGTGCAACACTAGGTGGTTACATGCTCTCCAGTCCATGGGATACCAGTGTCAGTGCAGCTTTACTGCCAGTGCCTCACCACAGGGAAGCTGAGGTGTTAATCTTCTGGGGAGCACATCTCTTAAGACACTTGTGAATGGCACCACTGTGTTTTAAATAGTTTAATCCTAAACACCAAATGCTGCCCAAGCAGGATCCTTCTCACACA